GAGTAGTGTCGTTTTCTCACACTGTATAAAACTTTATCTTATTTATATCATTGTCGCTAGATGTTTATTAAATTTGAAAAAAAAAATGTCACTTATGGATAGCCTATTACATCAAGCTTGGAAATGATTGCTCTGAGTAGTGTCGTTTTCTCACACTGTATAAAACTTTATCTTATTTATATCATTATAGCTAGATGTTTATTACATTTGAAAAAAAAAAATGTCACTTATGGATAGCCTATTATATCAAGCTTGGAAATGATTGTTCTGAGTAGTGTCGTTTTCTGATACTGTATAAAACTTTATCTTATTTATATCATTATCGCTAGATGGCAATATTTATTAAATTTGAAAAAAAAAAACGTCACTTATGGATAGTCTATTATATCAAGCTTGGAAATGATTGCTCTGAGTAGTGTCGTTTTCTGACACTGTATAAAACTTTATCTTATTTATATCATTATAGCTAGATGTTTATTACATTTGAAAAAAAAAAATGTCACTTATGGATAGCCTATTATATCAAGCTTGGAAATGATTGCTCTGAGTAGTGTCGTTTTCTGACACTGTATAAAACTTTATCTTATTTATATCATTGTCGCTAGATGTTTATTACATTTGAAAAAAAAAAACGTCACTTATGGATAGCCTATTACATCAAGCTTGGAAATGATTGCCCTGAGTAGTGTCGTTTTCTCACACTGTATAAAACTTTATCTTATTTATATCTTTATCGCTAGATGTTTATTAAATTTGAAAAAAAAAAACGTCACTTATGGATAGCCTATTATATCAAGCTTGGAAATGATTGCTGGCCAGTCCAATACTTTCAGGCCACAGTCTCGCAATGAACGTACGAAAGCGAGTGGAAGCCTACTGCCAGTGAAACAACGAGCCAGCAACGCAACGTAACGCAACGCAACGCAACGGTGTCAGTCGTCGTCTCTTGCCAGTTTGACTTTAGCTACGCGTGATGCCACTCGTTTCCAAACTCGACCTCGAAGGATACGTCGCCGCCGCGAGGTTGTCGATCAAAAAAGTCGACGCGTATGCGCGCCCATCTCACGCGATTGGCAGATTCCGCGCGTGCTGCGACCGAAGAGCTCGATCTGGCATCGGTGGAGAGAGTACGACTTTGCGACGAGGCTGAAAATATGACAAGCTGGCCGATAATTCGTAGTAAGTAGCACCGAACGAATCGGGTTCGAACGAAAGGTAACTGCGTTTCCCTCTGTGCAGATGAAAAGTGAATTTTCCGTGAGAAACAGAAACTTCGCTAAGACATTATGTTATCCATTTTGATCATCTTTCAACTTTGTGCATTCCACGTTCAAACAGCTGCTTTCTTATCTTTTTTCGGTAGAAAAAAAAGGCTCCAAGATCGACGATAGTGAAAAAGAATAGTGAAACGAATTTTGACATACGATTTTAAAGTTTCTTCGCCGTCTTTCTTTTTTTTTTTTCTTTGATTTCCCACTTTGACTTTAAAACAAGCTCGAACGATCCGATTCACACAATGAGTTTACGGTTTAAAATGAAGGTTGGTTACATGTCCATCTATCAGATGAAAGAAAAAAAAAACGCGATTACTTTTTGGTCAACCCAGTACGTACGTAGAATTTTGGCTTATTAGCGACGCTGATTAATTCGAAGTTTACGAATGGATTGATTTATCAGCTTTATCGCGCTGATCGTTATGGCAACTTTGGATATATTTGCGTCAGGAGTAGAGGCTAGCCTCTTCAAATCGTACGATGCTTTCGATTTCGTTTCGTCAAGTCCGCTGTCTGCGAGCGAAAGTACGTCTTTCGCAACTCTGAACGTC